TACTTGTAGGCAAATGTGTTGCCTAGCCTGCATTTCAGTATTAAGTTATGTGTTCCCTTAAGTCATTTCAGGCCACTACTTGGTTTTCAATATCATATTATTTTAACGGAGACACATATTCAAAATATCCTAATGGAAAGTTTATCCTTTCAGAAATCCAGTTCGGCTGAAATTCGTAGGGACGGGTTTGAGGCGACAAGATGACCCCTGGGAAGTTTATCTGAGACAAGAAGCTCCACTGTCCTCTAAAACATGACCAGCTCTTCAGGAAAGGGAACACGGAGGGTGAGGAGAGAAGAAAGGTAGACCTTCCACTTTTATTAAACTGTTCCTTTCCAGAGCTCGCAGCAAAAGAATTCTTTCTAGCAGTCACCTACTACAGGGGATTGAAGATAGTAGGTTCATTAAAGAGAAAGCCATGATCACAAACTCATTTAAGTTTCCTTGCACCTGTTTAATCAAAATTATTTCCTGCTGCTCTCAATTACAGACAGTTTCTGTGGTGACAGATTCATGACGGATCCACTGAGCTATCCCACCTCTCTCATCTCCAGCGCCACAAACTGAGCCAGCCACTCTTTTGTCAATAATCCACACTTGCCCTTGAAACGCATTACAGCTAAGATGTTGAGATCAAATGAGCAGAAAGATGCTTGCTGCCACCCCAGATCCACTACAGAGACCACCAAATCCCAGAGAGTATGCCCGAGAAGGGGGAAAAGAAAGCGGGCTGGTCCTTGTGGTCTCATTAGAATTACAAACTCAGGTCACTCCGGAGTAAGATAAATGCCAGCCAAGGCAATGCTTCTGATTCTTCAGGCCTGCTGAAGGTAATTAGCCTAGAGTTAAATGTCAGGGGGAGCTTCACGTGTACAAGAGAAAGAAAATGTCATGTTTGTTGTAAGCAACAATATTAGTTTAATCAAATCAGAAGCTTGTTATTAGCAGAAGGTAAGTCCTGGAGTGACCTCCACAAGAAGCGGGGTCCACCTGGCTTCCCGTTCCACTGTCTCCTAACTGAGCTTCTCCTCAGTCTTCTTCAACTGTCTGCAGACAGAAAGCAGGGAAGATCTGTAATGTGGTAACAGTGGAGACTGATGACAAAAATCCACTCATCTCTTGACTGGGTATGGAACATAATGAAAAGTCAGAGTCATACTGCCTGGTTGCCATCCAGGTTCTCCGCTTCCTAGCTCTTTAACGCTGGGAAAGTGACCGCACTTTCCAGTAAACCGGAGTAATTCTAGTACTTCTCTCATGAGACTGCTATGAATATTAAATGAGATAATGCATGCAAAGTACCTTAAACTAGGTCTACCACACTAAGTACAACATAAAGGTGAGCTATAAATCTATTTCAGCAACATGGTGATTTTTAAAAATTGTAACGGCACGTGTTACTTTGCTAATAAGAAAAAATATTTAGGAAAACAGAGTAAGTAAGAATTCTGTGGCAGAATAAAGAAAAGAATTTCACCCTGTGAACAAGTGGCTACACAAGAGAAGAGGTCCCATTTATTTTACTTGCTTAGTTTTAGAGTCCAATGTCCAATGCATGATAAGCAGTGAAATGTATCAGTGAAACGAATGTAATATGAATGAAAGAATAAACAGAAAACTCCTGACAACACTAGCTATGGAAAACCAAAGCCCGATCAGATCCGGAAACGCTGGAAGAGAGGTTGTGGCATCTTACTGTCTTAACTTCAAGCAACAGAGGTGTTAAAACATAGCAGTTGGAGACAGGAAATTATTATACACCTTGATACAACCCTGTATCTTCATCTCCTCCTTACTTCTCCAAAAGGCTGGCCTTCCGTCTGGCTAAAACATTCTAAGTGGTAGTATTTATAAAACAATTATGACAAATCTAACAGCACAAGTACATTTAGGAATGATCATCTGAATGTTTTAATATTTCTTCCAGATCTATCACTTCAAGAAACAAGTCTTCAGGTACTCCTGAAGGTTCTATGGAAAGAAGGTAAGCTAGGACAGTTGGACATAGTTCAAAAGTTAAAGTGCAGGTCTTCAGGTCATCTGCAGCATGCACAACACTCAGGGAGGCTGGAGCACACATCCCAACATCACTGTGCTTTCAGAGTGGACCCAGCACCACCCCTCAATGGGGTACCATCAACGAGAGCCTTCCGTTTTCATTTTCCAAAGTTCAAATACCACTTTCAAATATCTCTCCTCCAAGTTGAACAAAAAGAAAAATTTATGTGGCAGGGAGGGCAAATTTTCTTTCATAGTGACTTTCAAGAAGTGATAAGCATCAAAACAGTAATCTCAGGGTCCAACCTTTCAAAGTTATCAGTGACTTCAAACAAAACAACAGTTAAGAGGCCAGGGCTTTGGAAACCTCAAGCAAGGCCTGGCTCAGCGGAAATGAACAGGCTGCTTAGGTAACTGCAACACTAGACAGGGCTTTGTTCACTCTTCAATGAACAGCCAGTTTCTACAGAAGCAGCCTTTATCTCCATGGTCCCTGGGGACCCATGCTTTGTGGATATTCCAACTAAATGCTCCAACTGGAGCCTCTTGGACTTACCCTAAAAAGATCATCTGGTGTGAGTTTCACTGTACTTCGAAAGTTAATGGAATAAATAAACGGCTAAGCAAATGCAAGCATCTGGACATTTAAAATATTTTGAATGTTTATAATAATATGCTAGATTAAATTTTAATTTGCAAAATAAAATGCATGCTGCTCAAAATAGAATTTTAACACTTAAAATTCTTCCAGAAACAGGAAACAGTGAATTTAAACATAAAAGTGTTTCTCTTTGAAAAAAAAAAGTGTTTCTCTTTGAGCTATTAAATTCTAGATATTTTTATAATACCTAAAACTGTATTCCTCAAACATCATAAGAATGGCCTGGTATATTTGTTGAAAATACAGATTCCCAGGATTCATTCCAAATTAGATGGGATGAGACCCTCCAAGCAAGGAGCTGGGGTGCTAGAATTTAACAAGCACCTCAAGTGAACCCAATAATGAGTCAAGTTTGGAGAACCACTAACCCAAGGACTTTAAAAGTCTCCATTCCCCCCCCAAAAAAATGAGAAATGAGGAAAAAGCTCAATGTTTGAAAACTGTAAAACTGAACAGGAATTCAAAATGGTATTGCTGGTGGCCTTGTTGATAAGCAATTACACTGGCAATCCAAACGTACATGGTTCAAATTCACCAGCTGCTCTGTGAGAGAAAGACAGGCAATCTCTTCCCACAGGATTAACTGCTTCTGAAAATCTGCTGGAGGGTCAACTACGCATTGGTTCTGACAGAGAAGTTCTGTGAGTCAAATATGTTTCACAGTGATGCTATGAACTATCAAGTTGAACCCTGTCCTACCCTGCGTCATCCTCACAATGAAATCAGAAAGCCTTGAATAGACACTGAAGTGCAGCAAACATTTCCACAATCCAAAGACTCAACAGGTACAGGAGCCTTCACTCCCTCCCAGATGCCTGTGAACCAAGGCAGCTGCAAAGGCCAACTCATCCATTTCTAGGAGTGTTTAGCACTCACTCTAATCCTCAACTCTATTTGAAATGTAGTAAAGGGAGGAAGCTACACACAATTTTTTCTACTCCATGTGAGTCACTGAAAGAAAATGTCACAGGTTGGGCATCTTTTTCAGGCATACGCAAAGGCAGCCGAGGCACGGCTCCTCACATTGCCACGCTGAGCAAAACAGGGATCAAAGACAGTGAAGACAGCATGTCAGAGAAAGAGGGCAGGTGTGGTAGGAGTCTCATACCATTGGGAGGGCATCTCTGTTGCAAAATTAAGATCTCAAACAACTGCAGAATTTAGCTGAAGTGTTTGGACTCTCCTTTTAAAGAGAAGGAATCTACTGTCATCAACTAAAAGGAATGGATGTGGAAAGAAGAGGTAACCAAGATCCTCTGAAAGGAGACCTGGAGGAGTGAGGGAGCAAAGTTACTCTTTAGGTTAAAAAGTGTAAGAAAATATGTAGGATTCATTTGGTGTTTAGATGTCTCTATACAAGCACTGGGGAAATTAGGAATGGGGGTAAGAGAACTCTTTAAAAAAATCTATAAATCATTCTATAAAATGCCAAGGGATTCTCATTGCTGAGTGGATCTCTCATATTCTGAGGTTAAATACCATTAAAGTTCCTGTCTAGTCCCCTACCAAAAAGGGCACAGCACCAGCCAGCTGGGGGCACCCTGGGAAGGAACTGGCAGCAGCTTCTACAAGGACAGAGCAGATGCCATCTGCTGGAAGGGCTCTGAGCCAGGTGTCTCTCTTGCCCCACAGTTTGTGGATCAACAGGCAGTTTGGGGGCAAAACCAGGCAATGCTATACAAACGCCTGTGGGTGACCAGCAATCACTCTCATCTTCTCCCTTCCCTGACTCCCAGAGGCACAGCCCTCTGCTACCCAGACTCCCTTTCAAGGCAGAAGGTCAGATCTGTGTGATACTATTTCCTTCCCTCAAAGACTATGGGTCCAAACCATTATGCTCCCCAATATCTGACCTGATCATTGCCATGATCCCAGAGGCCTCCTCTCTTAGCCAGAGCATCGAATACATGGTGTCACCCCTGACCTAACATCTCCAGCAGGGATCTTCCAGCACAGGCTAGCATGGTCCAAAGCACTCCTGCTGAGGGCAGTTTCCTCTGGGGGGCTTGGCAAAGTCAACCACCAATGTCAGGAAGCACTCAAAGCCTTAGGGAGCCCCTCTCTAGGGCGGGGAGCTGCCCAACACTTCTTCCAACCTGTATTTTAGCGCAGTTCCCTCCCCTTAAGCTACAAATTCACACCTGAACCACAGGTAAGTGGCAAGAGCATCAAAGCCTTCGAAGTTCTCTTTAAAGTTCCTCTCTGTGCAAGATGCAGTGCGAGGGAAGCGGGGAGACCCGCTGCCCCAGGACACCTGCCCCTGTCGCCCTCCCCAGCCCGCTCGGGGGGGCCCCTCCTGGAGAGCCTCCCCGCCCTGCAGGCCCGCGGGGGCGGTACTCACGTCTCGGAAGCGGTTCCAGTACTTGTCCCGATCGTACTGGGAGACGGTGCTCAGCCACTCGTCATTGTCCAGGAAATTGCCATGGTTGGCGCCGCCCGCGAACGCGTCCAGGTGCCGGCTCTCCGCCTGCAGGACGCACCACGCGGCGGCCGCCACCGCCAGCACCGCGATTGCCGGCATCTGCGGGGACAGGGCGGGGGGCCCGCGGAGGCGTGAGCCCGGGGAGGGGGGTGCTCACCACCCGGTGCCCACGCGTCCGCGCCCCCGAGCCGGGCTCCGGCCAAAGGGGGCACCGGGCACCCCGCACGCACCCGGAGCGTTCGCCGGGGACCCCTCTCGCAAACCGGGGTCCATGCCCAATAAGGAGGCTGCGTCACTAATGAGGCGGCTGCTGTCAAACTACAGAAGCCCCCCCACACCCCACACACACGTTCTCCGGATGCCCCCCAAGACCGTCGTCGTTCAATCGCAGGCTTGCGCACCCCTCCTCATAAACGAGGAGCCCGGGACCCTCGAGCCGCCCTCGCACAGACGGTGCCCACAGCCTCGGGGCACGCGAGGAGAACACGGGCTCTGAGCAGCAGCTCCGGCTCTGCCGGAATGGGGGAGAGTGGATGCGCAGCCGGGCTTCCCGGATCGCAGCTCGTCCACCCCGAGGCCGCGGCGGCAGAGGGGGCGCGCGGAGGTGCCCCCCCGACCCTGACCCTCCCAACCCCCCGGGCGGCCGCCAGCTGGTCCCAACTACACCAAGTTGGGGCGCAGGGCTCTGGAGACGTACCGTAGGGGCCAGCCCTGGTCCCCGCGTCCGAGCTGTCCGAGCTCCGGTGGAGCTGCCGCCGATAAGGGGGGTGGGCGGGCTCGCTCCGCTGCGCTCCTGCCACCCGCCGCCGCCGCTGCGCGTCCGGCCGCTTTGTGAGCCCTCAGCGCTCTGGCTCCGCCGGCTCCTCGCTCGGGCGCGGCGTCTGCGGGCGGAGGAGCTCGAGCGCCCGAGACGAGGCCTCTGGCGCCCCCTGGCGGCCGCACGCTGCGGCGCTCCCCGCCCGCTCCCTCGTCTCCCCAGGCACAGCCGCAGCAGCAGCCAGGGAGGTGACTCTTCACAACCATTTTCCCTTCAGACTTCTGTTTTCCTAATGTGGAGCTGAAATTAATTCGCAGGCACACGCTAGGGAGAGGCAGAGGAGAAGACTGAAGGTATAAGGCAAAGAAGCCAGCCAGAGTTGAGACATTGGCAAAAGTTGGGTCACCCAAATCGGAATCATTAAGGAAAGGAATATGGCCCCTAAAACAAACTAGATTGATTCAGAATGCTAAAGAGAAACGGTGTCAGTCTAGAGACTAAGGTGCTCCTGATCGAGGCCATGGTCTTCTCAATTGCTTGCTATGCTTCCGAGAGCTAACCAGTGGTTAAGGATGGTAAAAGACATAATATGGACTGCCAAGAGAGTAAACAAATCTGTTCTGCAAATGGTGAAATCATATTAGTCCTTGGAGACAAGGATTTTGAAGCTCTCACTCACATACTCACATGCTCTTTGCCAGGAGAGACAAGTCCTTAGAGAAGGACATCACGCTTGGAAGGGTACAAGGTCAGTGCAAGAGAGCAAGACCCTGGATAACATGGATTGGCACCGTCATGATCATGGCAATGGGAGAAGGTGTGAAAGACAGTGAGATTGGCTCAGGAAAGGGCAGGGTTTAGAGCTTTTAAGTGTCAGATGGCTATGAGTCGTCCTTGATTCCACAGTAATAACAAGAGGCTTCAGAGAAAGGATACTGAAAAACAGAAGGTTGGTTTATTTCCACCCTATTTATTAGCCATGTCTGATAAAACAAGGTTGAAAGGGACTTAACACAGTCCCCTGCCTGTGGATAAGTAACATTGACCTGTTTTCCTTCCACTTTCCTTTCCTGGCAAGATAGCTCATTCTCCCCAAACACCTGAGCATGCTTTTAGAAGAAGTCTAGCCCCTTCCCTCAAACAAACACCCTTAAAACTCTGTGTAGATTTCTTTAAAAAATCTCAATCTCTTGGCTAGCATCCCAAGGCCTGCTACCTCTCCCTACCACTCTGGTCCCATCTCACATCACTCCCTCCTCCTTTTCTGGCTTCCTGGACAGGCAGGCCTGGGTTACAGACACAACGGAGCTGCTCCAGCTCTGGGCTTTAACACTGCCTGTGCCATGCTGCATCTACCTCCAGAGGACTGCATTCATTCACCTCCCAACTTATTCATTCTCACTTTTTCAGAGAGATTTTTGCCAAGTCTGACCCTGATAACAGATTCTTTGAAAACATGATGCTTCTCTGACTGTCAATTTACTGCATTTAAAATCATTTATTCCACATCCATCTCTTGGCTGTGAGCTCTCTGAGGACATAGTTTATGTTTGGCATGCACCCCCTAGTGCCCAGAGCTCAAGCTCCTGGCATGCAGCAGGTGCTCAAAAAATATTTGTGGGATGAATGAGTGCTGTCTAAGCATGGTCTGGAACCAGTTTTCAACCAATATACCCTGATGTGTGTGAGTGGCCAGTTGTAAATTGTGCTGAAAAGAATTTGGTGGCAAGTAATAGTTTAATGTGTGAAAGCTAGATTATAATTTTTCTTAATGTCAGCAGAGTCGTGGTTATTCTTCCATTACTCTGACTAATTTGCATTCCTCAGAGCTTTCTTGGAAAAAAAAGGAAAGCTATTGGGAACGGTGTGCCATCCACAGTTCATCACAGCAATGTTTTCGGTATCTCGATAATCCGAGGGGGAAAAGGTTCAGAAATGACAGAGGGCATATTTATTGTTGTCGTAGACCCAAGTAAACAGCTGCTTTCCCATTTCTCTGCCACCTTTGACGGCAAAAGTTCCCCAGATTGTTGTCTTCTCATGTCATTTCTGCCTCCTCACCTCCAATTTGTTCACTAACTACTTGCAATGGCTCAGTAACTACCTCCGAGTCACCACACCCTGCAGTCACACTGTGTCCTCTCTGACTTGGTCCCTGAGAGCAGCTGTCCCTAGGTATCCATGGTGCCCTCCTCCTGCTTCCCTGCTCCCCACTGTCCATTCCCCTTACACTCCAGACCTTCTCAGGGCTCATGCCTGCCTCCTCTGCTCTCCCTAGCTAAACTCTTTCCCTGTGTATTCACAATCAATCCTGTGTTAACGGTTCTCCAACTGCACAGCAAACCCAGATGTTTTTGATGACTTCCAACTGTGTATCCAATTTCTTGCTTGACCTCTCCTCTTGAGTGTCATACAGGCACATCAAATACTACCAGACCAAAACTGAAGTCTGGATATCCCTCCAGGAACCTGTGCTCTCAGTCACCCTCGATGGAGCAAATGTATCCCCATCCGCATGACTGCTTAAGCCAAAAAACTACAAACAACAAAAAAAGCATTGCCTTCAAGTCAAAATCATCTCATAACTGATGTCCCAGTGGGTTTTCAGGGGCTGTAAATCACACGAGAGGAGATTGCCCAGCTTTCTCCTCTGGAGCAATTGGTGGATTTGAACCACCTGCCTTTGGGTTGTCAGAGTAACTCCTTACTTTCTAGGCCACCAGAATGCCCTGGAAACCTGAGATTTACCTTCAGTTCCTCCATTTTCCCTGTTGCTTATTTCCAGTCTATCAAGAAGTCTGCTCTGTTCCCAGCATGAGCTCTCTCTCCAAAGACTAGTTCCTCCTGAAAACATGGCCAAGGTAAGTGAGAGGAAGTAAGTGACACAGTGGCCACTACAATGGGCTTGAGCATGACAAAGATTGTGAAGATGGCACCGGACAGGGCAAGGTTCAGATCTATTGATCTATTGTTCATTGGATCACTATAAATCATAGTCAACTCGTTGGCACCTAACAACAATCCATTCCATTTCTCAAACTTCTCTGGTCCATCTACTACATCCTACCTCCGCAAGCACTACTTGACCCACTTGGCCAGCACCTCTCCACCTGGACAACTCCAGTGGTTTCCTGACTAGTTTCTCTGATTCTTTCATTTCCTTTCTTAATTATCTATTCAGGGCCTGGAGTGATCTTCTTTAAAATGAAACTCTTTGCACACTTATGTTTATTGTTGTTTTGTCCACAATAGCCAAGAGCTGGAAACAACACAAGTGCCTATCAACAAACAAATGGATAGAGAAGTTGTGGTATATTTACACAATGGAATACTATGCAGTGCTGAAAAACAAGGAACTCATGAAATATACAACATGGGTGACCCTGGAGGACATTATGCTGAGTGAAATACCTCAGTCACTAAAGGACAAAAACTGCATAATGTCAATATTATAAAACAAGACTGACATCAGGTTGGGGGAAACTAATAGAGGGGACAAATAATGTACACTGCATTGAAACAGATGAGGGAGAAAAATGTTTAAAAGGGTTATATGATTAGGAATTATTTGCATGACAAGAGTTCAGAATAAGAGCTACGTAGTAAAGTGGACTGGGGGATTATATAACAATGAAAGAATTTTTCTTTTCTTTTCAAAGAGTAAAGCGAACTGGCAGAAGAGGTGGGCAGGGAGGAAATGTGCAACAATGAATGAATGGAAATCCAAGTTCTCTATAATCTTTCATTAGAATACCAATTAAAAAATTTTTTAAAAACCCACGAAACTCTCAGCCTTGCATAATATCTCTCTGTGGTGTGCCATGACACTAAAACAAAAATCTACGGTCCTTCCCACCACTGATCAAGCCATCTAGCTTGTGCATCATCTGGCTCCTACCCCCTCATTCATTAAATCCCAGCCACACTCCTGGCCACAGTTCCGAGAACATGCCCAGTATGTCCTCACATCAGGACATGCGCAATGGCTGTGTCCTGCGCCTAGAATGCTTCTCTCCCTGCTCATCACAGGATCACTCCTTCAGTTAGTAGACCTCAGATCAAATGTCACCACCTCACTGAAGCTTTCCCTCACTGACCCAAGTAAAATAAGCATTCCCTGCCTGTGTTGGTGTTAAGTGTTATCGAGTCAAGTACAACTCATAGTCACTGTATGAATGACAGACGTGAACCTTATGCTATCTTGTGCCATCCTTATCATCCCTCACATGCTTAAGCATAATGCCACAGACGTTGTATCAATCCATCTCATTAAGGGGCTTCTTCTCTTTCGCAGAACCTCCACCTTTCCAAGCACAATCTATCTCCCCAAGGAATAAGCTCTTCTATCAATATGGATTGCATCTCAATATCAAGAACACAGAGATCCTCATCACCAGTTGTGGTTTAATCTTGCTCAGATCCACAATCAACACTCTTGGCACTGGTAGTCAGGGCATCAAAAGAAGATTTGCATTAGGGAAATGTGCTGTCAAGAACCTCCCCAGAGTGCTAAAGAACAGTTTCAGCCTCGAGACAAAAACGTGCCTTATTCAGGCCATAGTCATCCCAAGTGCTTGCAGTGCATCTGAGAGCTGGACAATGAATAAGAATGACAGAAAAAGAGTTGTGGTGCTGGAGAAGGATATTGGACATACCATGGACCACCAAGAGAACAAACAGATCTGGCTTCTTGTTGTTGTTGCTGTTATGTGCTGTCGAGTTGCCTGCAACCCTAGGTACAGCAGCTCTGAAGCCTGCCCTGTCCTGAGCCATTCTCAGTAATTCCAACACACCAACCTCAATTGCCCCAGTTGCTGGATCCATCCATCTCATCTGGGGCCTTCTTCTCCTGCACCGTCCCTTCTAAGTATGATATCCTTCTCGAAGGACTGGACTCTCCTGGCCACATATCCAACCAAAGTATGTGAGACGGAGCTTCAAAATCCTAGCCTCCAAGGAGAAACTTGGTTTCACCTTCTTCAAGACAGAACTATTTGTTTTCTTGGCAGTCCATGGTATGTTCAAGACTCTTCTCCAGCTCCACTATTC